GAGAGAGAGAGAGATATGTATATATGCATACGTATACACATATACATATCTATCTCTATCTAATATATATCTATCTCTCTATCTATATATATGTATGTATGAAAAGTCCTGTCAAGTCAGCCCATCTATATGCTTTAAATTGGATTGGAGCAAAACTTTTACATGTCGGCTTTTAAAGAATTGTTGAATCCAATCCTTTGGTCCAGTTCAGGTCTTTGAGTGATTATGTGAGCGAGACAGACAGAGGAGAAGCAGACAGCTCTGTCAAAATCAAATCCACAGGTATTTGGTTGCTAAATGGGTTCTGCAGTTGTCTGCTCACATAATAAAACAGCCAGATCACAACTGGCCAAATGTTCTGTCTCATTAAACAGCCAAAGGCCATACTGAGCGACAGTCTCCCCTGCCTAATGTCACCGTGGTCCTTTGCTGTGCTGTTTTGTGTGGAGAAAATTAGCTTTTTTTCTCTAACATTTTTCATGCTGAAGGAGGTTAAAAATAAAGTGTAGTCCTATTGAATAAAAATGAAAATATTCTTTTATTAGGCTTACACAATCACTGGATTCATCAAACTTCAATTACTAGAATTAGTTGTTTATTCTGTTAAAACAACAAAACCATCAGGTTTCATACATAAAATCTGAGTAGAATTGAAACTTATGCCCAGTACTACTTTTCCATTGAGAATATTGATAATTATGATGTTGATGAGAATCAGGCAGTTGTGTTGACCCTCAAGCTGTATGCTGTTAAGGTCCTCTTGTCAACACGCTCCAGATGTTTCTGTGGTGTGGTTCAGTTATATCTCTACTGAGTCCCGAGCAAGTTTCAGGCTCATAAATGGATATTTATAATTTTTCTCTAGCAGTACCCTGCTGTTTTATGATTCTGTTTAAGACTAGCTGGAGGACAACTGTAAAAAGTGCCACCATAATGCGCCAAAAAGTAGTCCGGCCATTTATATATCTGCAGAGCTTTACTGTATGTTTGTTTGCTTCCAAGCAAAATAGAAGTGAACGAATGCATTGCTGTTTGGTATTCAAAGGAGTGTAAGTCCTGGGAATACATTGTGTGTGTGTGTGTGTGTGTGTGTGTGTGTGTGTGTGTGTGTGTGTGT